AAAAAAAAAAAAAAAAAAAGGTCGAGAAGGGAGAGGGTTGACATGTTGTGGGGTTGTTAACCAATGTCATAAAACAATATGTGAAAAAAAAATAAAATATATAAAACTTTACTGAAGGCTATAAAAGACAACACAAATAAAACTAGACATATTTCTGAATGGAATGATTCAAAACTTTGTGTCATTTCTCCAAAAATTAACCAATAGAGTCGATCAAATTTCAGTTCATCTCACTGGGATTTATTTTTGAATTTGACAAACTATTCATCCAGAAGAGTAAATATGCTAAAAATATAGCCAAGAAAAATTTGAGAAATAACAATGACAGGATATTTGCCCCAAAAGGTATCAAAATATACTATGTTGTTATTATTAGTTGCCACTGAGTTAGCTCTGACTCGTGTACAACAGAACTAAATATTGCGCCATCCTCATGATCACCAGCATGCTTGAGTTCATTATTGTCTTCCAACCTAGGGGCTCATCTTCTAGCACTACATCAGATAATATTCGGTTGTGATTCATAGGGTTTTCATTGGCTAATTTTTGGAAACAGATCACCAAACCTTTCTTCCTACTTGGTCTTTAGTCTGGAAGCTCTGCTGAAACCTGTCTACCGTGGTTGATCCTGCTGGCATGTGAAACACTGGTGGCATAGCTTCCAGCATCACAGCAATATGCAAGCCAGGACAGTATAAAAAATTGTCAGTTATATTTCCACAGGTGGTAGAAATATTCTATAAAACTAAAGAAATTAAAAGACTATAGAAATGGAACAGTCTAGAGAGTCTTGAAACAAACCTAAGTATGATATATATAAAGATGCCATTTCAGTAAAGTAGAGAAAGAACAGTCTAATGGAGACTGCAAACTCAAATGCCTAGAGCAGCCAAGGAAACAGTATAAATGAATGAAGTGAGGCTAGGTGGGTACTTCGGCTAGCTGAAGAGCACATGCCTCATATTTGACAGGGGAAAGGCATAATCTTGTTCTGATAAACCATGCAGGAAGTTGTTGCCAGATCCTTTAGCTTTTTAAGAGAAACAAGAAATAAGAACTTTTAAAAATGTTTTAAATATTGATAATAAATTCAAATTTTTAAAACCCCTGTGTGGGTCCAACAAAACAGGAGTACAGGCCTCATTCAGCCAGCAAATAACCAGGTTTACCCTCTCATCTATTCAATAAATGGTTTATAAAACGAGTAAAGATTATATCCCTACATTATACCATTTAGAAAATTAAATTTCAGATGAACTATCTAAACAAAAATAAAACCATAAAAGAACCTAAAAAATATATATTTACTTTTATAATAACAATAGAAAGAGAATTGGCTTAAAGATGGAAAGTAGGAAAAAGGATTATTAAATCTTTTAAAAATCTTATCAGCTTTCTACTACCTTGCTTTGATCTAGGCCTAGTCTCTTTTAAGGGGTAAGACCAAAAAACAAAAAAAACCCATTGCCATCGAGTCGATTCTGATTCATAGCGACCCTACAGGCCAAAGAAGAATTGCCCAACGGGGTTTCCAAGGAGTGACTGGTGGATTTGAACCGCAGACTTTTTGGTTAGCAGGCAAACTCTTAAACACTGGGCCTAAACTGAGCTACCTACAATGTTTTTAGCAAGTAAGTATGTCGTGGCAAGACAAGATAGGATAAGTATATGTAAATATATGCTACAAGTATTCCTTACAACTGGTAATTTATTACATTGCAATTGAAACCAAAATTCACTATAAATATCAGTTTCTTTGCCAGCTGTTCAATACCTGAAAGTATCTGTGATCAATTAGGGCCTGTTGCTGGTTATCTTTGCTGGATTCCTCACCTTTCTTCTCTGGGTCTTCAGCCTTTTTTTGGCTGATAAGCTCCTGTAATCTAAATGGAGAAAAAAAAATCAGATAACACAAAATGTTCTCCTTGATGCTGGATTAAGATGACAAACTGAGTCAATTCTCCAGCTATCCCTCCCAACATCCTTATGAGTGCATATGCACACACACACACACAAGCACATATAAAATTTAAAAAAAAATTAAGCTATATTTTCACTGGAAAACAAGGCAGTCCTCTCAATAGACAGAAATTAGACAGAATCCCTGAAGACAGAAGGGATCAGACTGAAGATAATTCTAACCACCCCTCAATCACTGAAAAAAAAACAGCATAGGACAGAAATACTGCAAGGAATAGAAGCAACTTCCAAGGTACTCCCAACTTAGAGGCTATAGATAAGCAGAGGACGAAGAAATGGGCCGGGAAATTGGTTTGGGTATTGCAGCAACAACAACTCAGTGGTTTTGGCCCCTTCTTCGTCATACCCCACTTGTACCAAGGAACAGACAACACTGATGCCTGGGCCAGTGAAGACAGCATGGGGACCCAAGTCCCAGGGTGTCCCAGGTGGCTACTGGAACTCTGAGGGAAAGGAAAGCCCCTTTGCCCAGAAACATAACTATGCATGAGTATCCACCTAGTAGCAAGCCCTTTCCCTTCTCCAAATATCTTTGAGAACAGGCTGCAATACACACTCCTACCCATCCACTCACCATGTCTTTGAAAATATTCTCTTATTAAACGCTCTTCAGATTAACCTTCAATTTGAGTGTGCCATCAGTTTCCCGCTGGGACCCCCATCCATTAAACTGATTCCATGACTCATTAATGAGCTCCAATCTGCTGTTTGTAAAATACAACAGTAATATTCTATCACATCATCTGCCTACTGGGAAACAATCATGGCTTCCCACTGTGTTGTGAAACTCTCCATGCTTTGGTCCTAATCCAATATTCCCCGACTCATCTCTTACCACCAGTTGCCATCGAGTCGATTCCAACTCATGGCAACCCCATGTGTGTCAGAGTAAAACTGTGCTCTGTAGGGTTTTCAGTGGCTGGTTTTTCAGAAGTAGATTGCTAGGCCTTTCTTCCAAGGCACCTCTGAGTGGGCTTAAACTTCCAACCTTTCAGTTAGCAGCCAAATGCTTAACCATTTGCACCACCTAGGGACTCCCATATGTCATTAGAGAATTGCAAATTAAAACAACAATGTAAGGGGTGGGGCCAAGATGGTGGAAAAGACAGATGCCTCCTGCCGTCCCTCTTACAACAAAGACCTGAAAAAAAAGTGAATCAATTCTTTGTGACAATCTAGGAACCCTAATCATCACAGACAAAGTTGAAGAATCGGACTGAGTGGCAGGTGGAAGGAGAGACAATTCAAAAGCAGCGGAGAAGTACAGATCGCAAGACCGCCAGTGCCTTGCTAGCTGAGTCTGCACGGCACACACAGGCTGTGGCAAACAGCATCATTCAAATGGAGGTCACCACACTGGGCACAGTGAAGCAGCAGTGGATCTCCATGCACCTCTGGAACCAACCAGGAGTAACACCAGACCTGAGGAAGTTAAGTACAAGCTTCAAACCTACCACAAAATAACTCTTCTCTCTATCAGAGTTTCACAGTGGAGAAGTGCTTTCCTCCCCTCACACACCCCTAACCCTGCTCCACTCCAACATCAGTCTGGCAGTATTCAACAACCTGCCATTCCCCCTAAGCCAGGAACTCGGGGCTGGACAGAGGCCCTGCCCCTTAGCCCAGCCACTGGCATAATGGGTTCATGGACTTGCAGTGCCGTTCACCCCTGCCCAGACCTACGTGGGCTGATTTAACATCGCACAACCTCATTAGCATAAAACAGCATAGCATACACCTGAAGCCCATTTTCAACTGCAACAGCCAAGGGGGAGCTGCAGATTCATGACATTTGACACTGCCCTGCCCCCAAGCAGCAGCCTCACTCACCCACCAGGGGCCTGAGAGCTGGCAGTACGATACTCTCCATCTAGCCACCCACAACAGGGGTCTGAGAATTAGTGGTACCTCTCAGTCCCTCCAGCCAACAGCACTGTGTGCCCAAGGACCAACTGCAATACCCCCTCCACTACACGCTCTAGGGGACAGGGACATGTCCTCCACTTAGACACCTTGGGGCAGCCATCAGCCACCTACCTTACTCCACACACAGCCCCCCCAGTGCAGCCAGATATCTGTGCCTGCTCTGAACACTCCTATGCAGCCCTGCCTGCCTAGGACTGTGCGTGAGAGTCTGCACCATGTACTCGGTGACTGATAGCCTGGACACCTATGCCATACCCACACAAGAAAAGTAAACAGACTCCAGGGCTCACATACCTAGTAGCTGTTCTGACCACCTAGAGATAGGTCATGATAGCTTCAAAGATGCCAACAATCAAAGTAGCCCACAAGCCCAGCCTACTTGGGCATATCAAAACAAAACAAAAAGTCAGGACACAGTAAACAAACATACAATAAATAAATATAATAACTTATTGAAGTCACAGAAACTACAGTCAATATCAAATCAAGAAGCAACATAAAGAAGGTCAAGATGGCGCCAGCAAGCGATCAAAATAAAGAATCAGAAAACCTTACAGAGAAGGATAAGGCAATGGAATTACTTGAGAAAGAATTCAAAAGACTAATACACAGAGCTCTCAAAGTTATCAGGAAGGAGATCATGCAAAATTCGGATCAAGCCTAGGAACACAAAGCAATAGAGGAATTCAGGAAAACAATACAAGAACAAAACGACAAATTTAACAGGCTGCTGGAAACCACAGAGAAACAGCAACTAGAAATCCAAAAGACTAACAAAATTTCAGAATTGGGTAACTCAACAGGAGCAGAATAGAGACAATAAAGTCAGAATTAGTTAGACAGAAGAGAAAATCCTTGATGCCAATTTATTTGAGGAAAAATCAGAAAAAAGAATTTTAAAAAATGAAGAAAGCCTAAGAATTATATGGGACACTATCAAGAAGAAAAACTTATGAGTGACTGGAGTACCAGAATGGGGCAGGGGGCGGGGGGCAGTAACAGAAAATACAGAGAAAATTGTTGAAGATTTGCTGGCAGAAAACTTCCCTGATATCATGAAAGATAAGAAGGTATTTATCCAAGAAGCTCAACGAACCCCACATAAGGTAGAACCCAAAAGAAAGTCACCAAGACATATCATAATCAAACGTGCCAAAACCAAAGACAAAGACAGAATCTTGACAGTGGCTAGGGATAAATGAAAAGTCACTGACAAAGGAGAACCAATAAGATAAGCTCTGACTACTCAGCAGAAACCATGTAGGCAAGAAGGCAATGGGATGACATATATAAAGCCTGAAGGAAAAAAAATTGCCAGCCAAGAATTATATATCTAGCAAAAATGTCTCTCAAATACGATGGCTAAATCAGGTCATTTCAAGATAAACAGAAGTTAAAGGAATTTGTAAAAACCGAACTAATATTACAAGATATATTAAAGGGAGTCCTCTGGTTAGAGAACCAACAATATCAGACAACAATCCAAGACTAGGACACAAGACAGATCAATCCGTTAACAACCCAAACAGGGAATTAACAAAAACAAATCAAAGCTAAAAGTCTGAAAATAGGGAACCAGAGATGTCAATATCTAAACCATGGCAATGTCAAAAGAAAAAAGAGGGAACAAACAGTGTAGTCATAGAACTTCCATATGGAGAGGAAGTTAAGGTGATATCAAGAAATACCAGATTGGTTTAAACTTAGAAAAATAAAGGTAAATTTCAAGGTAACCACAAAGGAAGCTAACAAACCTACCCATCAAAATAAAAAAGAAGAAAAACATAAAGATTCAGCAAACACAAAATCAACAATATTGAAAAAGATGAAAAAATATATAAAGAAACAGAACTCAGCACAAAAAATGAAGTGGAACAAAGAAATTGTCAACACCAAAAAAAACATGAAAATGACAGCAGTAAACTCATACCAATCAATAATTACACTCAATATAAATGGCCTAAATGCACCAGTAAAGAAACAGAGAGTGGCAGCATGGATAAAAAAATACAATATGTCTATATGCTATCTACAAAAGACACACTTTAGACACAAAGACATAAACTAAAACTCAAAGGATGGAAAATATATATACCAAGCAAACAGCTACCAAAAAAGAGAAGAAATGGCAATATTAATCTCCAAAAAAACAGACTTTAAAGCAATATCCACTATATAGGATAAGGAAGGACACTGTGTAATGATTTAGGGTCTCAATACGCCAGGAAGATATAACCACAATAAATATATACACACCAATGACAGGGCTCCAAAATACATAAAACAAATTCTAATAGCACTGAAAAGAGAAAGAGACAGTTCCACAATAACAGTAGAGGACTTCAACACACCACTTCAGTGAAGGACAGAACATCTTGAAAGAAATGCAATAAAGATACAGAAGATCTAAATGCCACAATCAATCAAATTGACCTCATAGACATATACTGAACACTCTACCTAACAGCACCAAAGTATACATTCTTTTCCAATGCACACAGAACATTCTCCAGAAGAGACCACATTTTAGGCCACAAAGCAAGCCTTAACAGAATCCAAAACATCGAAATAATACAAAGCATCTTTTCTGATCACAATGCCATAAAAGTAGAAATCAATAACAGAAAAAGCAAGGGAAAAAAATGAAATACATGGAAACTGAACAACACCTTGCTTAAAAACTACTGGGTTATAGAAGAAATCAAGGATGGAATAAAGAAATCAATAGAATTAAATGAGAATGAAAACACATCTTACCAAAACCTCAGGGACACAGCAAAAGTAGTGCTTTGAGGTCAATTTATAGCAATAAATGCACATATCCAAAAAGAAGAAAGGACTAAAATCAAAACATTAACCCTACAACTTGAACAAATACAGAGCAGGAAAAGAAGTCCTCAGGCACCAGAAGAAAGGAAATAATAAAGAACAGAGCAGAAATAAACAAAACAGAGACTAGAAAAACAATTCAAAGAGT